ACAGCTTCTTATCCAGGGTTACCCCAAGATATTTGACAGTGTCAGACATGTGTATATTGTTCCCATATATAGACATTTGTCTTAGGGCTCTAAGATCTCTCTTCGTTGTGAAAGCGATTATAGATGTCTTGGATGGGCTAATTTTCAGCCCTTCCGTGTTACAGCATTGTTCGGTGATGTTTAGCGCCTGCTACATCAATGATGATACAGTGTCTCCAAACTTTCCCTGTACAACAATGGAGATATCATCCGCATATCCCAGTGCGTAGAAACCTTTTCCCTCAAGAGACGACAGGAGCCGGTCCACCACCAGGCTCCACAGCAAAGGCGACAAAACTCCTCCCTGCGACACCCGCCGGATACCCTTGCTTCCATGCTGACTTTATTGAGTGCGACAGTAACCGTTCTGCAACTCAGCATGTTTTGGATCCATTTACATATTATAGGCTCCACTCCACGATTTTTCACCGCTCTGACGATTGACTGAAAAGAGGTATTGTCAAGGGCTCCCTCTATGTCCAGAAAAGCCGCCAGAGCAATATATTTACGCTATAATGAAGTTTGTGTCCTCTGCACCAACTCGTGGATAGCAGATTCGCAGGATTTTCCCATTTGGTAGGCACATTGCTTGTGGTGTAGAGGACTTCTAGTAAGAACCTCTTCCCTGATGTGTCTGTCGATCAGCTTTTCTAGTGTTTTGAGTAATAAGGATGTTAGGCTGATCGGGCGAAAGGATTTGGCCTGGACATGCGTCGCTCGCCCGTCACAGAGCCATAAAAAAACTATGATTGTACTTTACAGAAGTAAGAGCGGAACAGGCGGAATTCGAAAGTGTTTCGAAAGGTTTGATACCGTTTAGGTGAGCATTGTTTGTTTTGCCAAACTCTCTTTTGATGCAAGAATGAAAAATATTGTCAAGTAGCATTTCTTTCTGGGCTTACCGAATAAAAAGAGCCTATTTTTTAAAGCGTATAAATATGCTATTTTTACATAATGTTTCTAGAACCAAATTGCATATCCCTATAACAAAGGAGACGTACTTATGACTTCATTTTTGATATCTGGAATTTAGAGGGTCTTTGAAGGAAATTTTAGTTCGGACAGTCCAGATTCTTTCGACTTACTTGCTCTGCGTTTCAGGCAAGCAAAAACTGTTCTTTCTGGATGGGTTGTATCCGCAGTCACCGTCCAAAGGTTCGATCTGAGGCGTCAAAAAACATGGTTCTCCAAACAACCAAAATTAATTTTTCTAGTAGCTGACAATTTTTAAATCTTCTGTTGCTGAGAACAAATTACAACATTTTTATGCAATCAGGGCTGTTCATTGAATACAGCCGGAGAACATCGGTGCATTCAAATACATTCGCCAAACAAATAAAAGCTGGAAAAGCAACCAAAACGCGTACGCTAAAGGCTTAGCCAGGAAACCCAGATCTAGTTTTTAGCCTCGCAAGTATGTTTAAAATTAGGCTACTCGAAGGATACTCAGAAGGATCAGGAATTAGGCTGCTCAAAGCTGACCTTTATAGCCCAGTTAGGTTGATAGAAGAGGTTCCTAAGAGAGAAAAAAATCAATTATGTAAAAGTTAAGTAGTTAGAAAGTTATGTAAAAACCTGAAGAAAACATTTAGGACAAGTTTATTTTAAAACAATTGAGTAATTACAAATATTACAATAATGAAGTCAACAATAATGTAGATATTAATACTAAATTAGAAAAATGATGTGAGTGTGCCAAAATCAATGAAACCTGAAACACCAGTTTGTAGAAACCTCTACTTCAAACGTTTATATGTGGTGATAATGAAAAGGTTGGGGTTTCTTTTAATAGTGGTCAAAGCGTAATGATTCTCGCTAAGTATAAATTGCTGTACTCAGTAGATCGTCTTTTCGGCCATTTTTTTAAGGACAACCTTCGC